AGAAAGGGATTTGAGTCAGATGATTTCTACATTTCTTCCCCAGCACAAAAAGGTGTTTGTTTTGTTGCCACAAGTTATGTTAGAAACCTCAAAGTATTTTTGTGACATCTAAACTTCAACTAATCTTGTAAATATGTTTTCAAACACTATTTTCCAAAAGCATTTTTTAGATTTTGAAGAATTTCAGCAAACATTACTTAAGCACAAGAAAAAAATGTAAGTCTAGCATGATGTACTGTCCTTAAAATGCTAAGTACAGTGAAATCTGTGAAAGCCAGGACGTGCGTAATGTGGAAACCTGTCAGAGAAGGACAGAGAGGTATTGGGCCCAAAGGCTGGTAGTTGAAACCCACCATCTCTTCCATGGGAGAGAGAAGCGGCAATCTACTTCTGTAAAGATTTACAGTCTTGGAAACCCTAATGGAATCGGCTCAATGGCGGTTTTCTTTTGTTCTAGCGAACGATTCAATACATGGCTAAGACTGTACTCTGGCAAAAGGGGAAACTTGAGATCTGGCAAAACAAAGCAGTTCCTTCAAGTTCTGGATTTCACAGAGTTCGTTGTATAATTATGTACATTCTGCCAGTATGTACTGGCACTCATCCCTCAGTTACTTAAGAGAGGGTCTTCTACCCCATCCACCAAATAAAACAAATAGCCATATCACCTTGAAAATCCCCCCAGCTTCAGGCTGCCTCGAGAGACTTTCAGGATCCAATCCGTCCCGAGCAGAGGTCACGTACATTTCAGAGTAACCCTTCCCTCCGAAGCAGCATGACGTTGTTTTGTCAACAGGCAACTTCACAGTTTGGAGCCTTTTCCCTAGGAAATCAATACTCAAGCATGAGCTCTGGCCCATGCCCACCCTGAGTCGTTTCTGGTCTTAGGAGAGTCACAGGGAAGGCCAAGGAGGACTCTATGGATCCCTAGTGGGACAGTGCATTGAGGAATGGGCTGCTAGCTGCAAGGTCGGCCTTTCAAATCCACCAAGTCCCTTTGCAGGAGAAACCTGAGGTTGTTTCCTCCCATAAAGATGATTTACACCTCAAGAGCCTTCATACTTTACAAAAAAAGCGTCTTCATAGTTGACTGCTGGGACCTGGATTAGACTCATGACAGTGGGCATGAAGGTTCTTGAAGTCAGAATTCCTTCATGCATTTAATTTTCCTTCCCTGACAATTTATTTTGAGCAAGAAGACTTCTCAAACAGTCAATAGCAATAGTTGAACATGATGTTAACAAATGTCACTGAAGTATACATGCACAGATTTTGAGAGAGTAAATGTTACACATAAATATATTCGAGCAGGTAGCAACAATGGTAAGGCTGGTGCTGGACTGGGTAGTGTTTTATTCGGCTGTACATGGGGGACTATGAATTGAGAACTGCACCTGACAACAACAACTTATATGTTAACCCCCCCACACACACATAGTAAAAATATAAAAATAAACTTACTTCTACAGGAAAATACAGTCTAACTATAAATTTTGGACTGTAAGTGGCGAAACAGGGAGGGTAAAGGGGGAGTGGGTAGGAGGGAGGGAACCGATTGCAAGGAGCTGTGTGTGACCTCCTCCCCGGGGGACAGACAGCCGAGGGGTGGGTGAGGGGAGACGTCGGACAGGGCAAGATATGATAAAATTCCAATTTGTGAACTATCAGGGGCTCTTGAGGGAGGGGGGAGCGGGGAGGGAGGGGAAGGGTGAGGACCTAATGTCGGGGGTTTGGGTGGAGAGGAAGTGTTTTGAGAATGATGTACAAATGCACTTTACACAATTGATGTGTGTATGGATTGCGATGACAGTTGTATGAGCCCCTAATAAAATGTTAAAAAAAATAAAAAGAAAAAAGAAAAAAAATTTTGGACTGTATCCAAATTTATTCAATCGAAACTTTTTGCTATGTCTCCCAACTCCCTGAGTAACAAGATTTCTTTATAGTTCCTAGTATTTAGTAATTTCTACAACTCAGCAGGGACTTTCCCTTTTGCTGTGGGCCTACCTGTCTCAGGATCTAAACGAATCACTCTTCCTCCATTGTAGCAGGCCACCCACAGCTTTCCCTCAGCATCGATACACATTCCGTCTGGGATTTGTTCTTCTTGCTCCATCTTGTAAACGCTTCGGCGGTTGGCTGTGGGAGACAACGAGAGGTCACTCAGTGCTGAGCAGCAGATGGTGAGCCCTCCGCTGCTCAGTTACCACTTCTGTTTGGTTAGCCAAGGTCTGCCATGTGGGCACCATGAGTGAGCTCTCTAACAGAAGGATCTCTAACTAAATCCCCAAACGTGGAGGACTATGCCTGGGCACCTGCGGCAGTTAGAGTTCAGGTCAACTTGTGCTTGTGTAGGGGTGGATCAGGTCACAGTGTGAGGATGCCTCTTTGGGCCTGTGGCCTTTTGGTAAGAGAACTGGGAACTTCTCCTTTCTCTCTGCTCGCAGGGACGCTGTGCCTGCCTCCAGCCGTGGCCCCGTGTGCTCTGCCTGCCATGTGACCCCTCACCTCATGTCCACATGACCCTGCATTCGCCAGCCTGTGATCACCCTGCCTCCCGCTTCGCCTTGCTGCGTCCTGGGCCCGGCCATGAATCTGCAGAGGGTGCTGGCTGGCCTCAGACCCGTGGCTGAGACTTGGCTGCCTTCTTGATAGAAGAGTACTCCTTGATCGAAAGCTTTCTCTTCCAGATACGAGTGTCACTGGCATTGCCTTTCTACCCAACTCAGCCTAACACAGCATCCCTCCTCAGCGAGTTTTCCCCTCACATCTAAACCATGTTCATGGCGACAAAGGAGCAGCAGCAAAAAGAGGATGGACTGGGCACTAAAATACCAAGCCTTCTTCTGAAGGTGACCTCACATTGCAGTCCTTGCATTCCCAGCCCAGGCCAACTTCCGTCGGCGTGTAGACCTTTGCTGATTTAGCCGCCAAAAGGCCTACTTGAGTAACTGCCAAGATCTAGAAGACAATCGAAAGGCAGCATGGGATGTTCAAACACACCAACTGGTGAAGTGTGTGAGTTCTTGTTCTGTTGTCTCAACAACTGCTCCAAAATGACCTTCTCAAAATGAAGTATTAGAAGAACTTGTTTCCAGAAAGGAGAGGGATTCTGAAGCCAACTGACTGGCCTTAAGGGGGGAAATCACGGAAGCAAACAAAACCAAGAGCAACATGCCAAGGTGACAGTTGTCCAACGTGGTGAGTATAATGAACGCCAGTGCAGTCTACAGGGAAAATGGTTACAGTGGCAAAGCTGTGTTATAGGGATGTTCACACACACACACACACACA